GAAAGATCAAGCTTGATACGATTTCAATTAATCATCATTAATCATGATTAATCATAATGGATGTTTTAGTTATTTAACAGCCCAAGATAAATATATGTTGAACTACTCTAAAGTGAATATTACTGTTTTAAAATGAATTCAGACCAGCATAACATGATGTCCACAAGAAGGTCACTTTTTTTTACATGACTCCATTACAAGTCAAACTGAATTTTTCTTATACCTGCGATGTTTTTTTTTTTTTTTTTTTTAACGTGACTGTAACTGATCTCGGTGCCAGTGGATCAAGTATAACCCCTGGAGATGCAAGTTTATCAGTGCAAGAGGAAAAAAACCTCATGGAGGGAGGAAGGTGTAATGGAAAGGATGTGGTGGATGTAAGATGCAGGTTGCAGATAAACGCTGTAATCACAACAAATGACCCCTTATTATTACAGATGTTGAGGATAACATGGTAAACGTGGGAGCTGGCCTGAGGGGGAAAAAGAGGGCTGTGAGGTGGTTTATTTTTCTCAGCAACAAGTCAAGGACAAAGAAAATACCAGCCTATGTATCACAGCACCCACGCTATTCCCATGTCACCCCAGATCAGGTTCTGGTACTGTATGATCAATCTCTGAAGTTTTATACACAAAGTCGAAAACACCTCTGCCTGTTTTGGACTGCTCCAAGTAAGTCATGCCAAAAAACACATTATTCTAAATTACTACAGTAGTGTACAGCACTGTACTGTGTATATGTTACATTTAACACATAGCATCTAACGTTTGTAGCATGTAACTCTTTCTTCAAGAAAGGAATGGTAAAGAGTTACAAAACAAGTAGCCAGCTCCTAACTCCGGCACTGACTGCGGAGTTCCAGGTGATTAGAGATTTTATACTGAATTTTCTTCGTTTTTTCACAGCTAATCTAGGCTAAGCTAGCCTTGATTACATCATCTGCCTGGCCTGTTCTTTTTAGGGATCTATGAGCAGATTTGAATCTTATGAGTAGCTTTACTGGCATCTACCAAATATTTAAACCTTCAAGGCGTCCAAATTGCATTAAACAGTAAGAAAAAAATTCAAGAAAGAAAGAGGGAAAATTTCTTGCCATCATAATGTCATATACGCTACGTCTCGCGACACTAAAACCTATTAATCCTATTTGATGAGGAGGGTGTTTTTGTGTAGGGATGCTGAGAACTCCATAAAGGTTCTCATTTCATTTAATTCTACAAATATTGCTCATCAAACAGAATGCTATGTTGCCAATGCAGACTATGGTAAGTACTGCAGATCCACGTAGAGGGAATCAAGGATTTAGTTATTACATATGTACTTTTCATTGTGGTGCGCCCGCTTCCTGTGTACTTCAGGGGGGTATCAGCTGAGAGGTCAACACTGGAGGTGGGGGTCATGTAAGAGGACGCCACTGGTCCAGGTTTTTAGATGGCTCTGGTTTCAACTGAGCCGAGGCTTTGTAGCGTGGGGTATGAGACCTGGCTCTAAAGCCTTAGAAAAATAAACCCAAAAAAGGAGGAAATGTTGGCTTATCTGAGCTCAGTAACAGCAAAGACATTTTTTTTTTGCATGTACAATCCTCTTCCACCCTCCTACACTCCTTACCAACCCCTAGAGGCAATTTCTGCGCCATATTATTATGCATTCTTTTTAAGCATAAAAATATATCTAATACGCCTTTCCTCTATTTAAGTGAAGCTTACCTTATTGCATTATTGTATCACATATTTGCTGCCCTTCAGAAGCTAAAGAGCTGTGAGCTGAGTGGGCAGTGAAACTGAGATGACCTCCTGCACAAACAAGAAGAGTAGTCCAGGAAAGAGGCTTATTTTCCATTTAGTCGTATTTATGAGCATAATTTACAGAGTCTAAACTCTACTGTCGACCTTTGATCACAACACTGTTTGTCTTCTGGCCCCTTGTGGAGGGAATGAGTGGATCCCAGGCTGTTGGTATTACCCACCAGGCAAAAGGGGTAATTACCCAGAGGCTCGGGAAGTCCAGGGAAGGCTCCAAGCTCTTAGGTGATTTTATATCAACTGGTTTGTGTAAATTAAATTGAGTTTATTCATGAATATTCATCATGTAAATTGATGTTCACTGACATGTTGAAAGTCGAGAGGCTTATTAAGTAATTTTTTACTTAATTGTAGATTTTTAAAGGCTATTTTCAACCATTTTAGATTAATGCTGTTTAAGTTTGCGTTCACCTATGTATATAAATAAAAATAAAAAGCTGAAATATGTAATTTGATAAAATGCCTTTAACAAAATCTTTTTTCTTCACTGATTTAAAAAATAGATATAGTAAAAATTACAAGAAAAAGTAAAATTGAACTAAAAACAAAATGTGGATGCCATTTGAGTACCATAGAATATCAGAATACAAAAAACAAAAAATACAACAAATATCACTGTCAACTTGCCAACTTGTTTTGTTCCTTTGATGTAAAATCATCAAAGAGTACATTTTGTATTAGGTCATGAGTTTACAGAGGTCCATTGGTTGCCTGAACAAAAAAAAAATCACAAATTACAAAGAATTCATCCCACCAACAACAAGCAGGATAAAGGAGAGAAAGAACAGAAGAACCTGAGAAAGAGATCAGACAAAGAGGATCAGCATCAACTGACACAAAGTTCTTTCTATCGTGCCAGTGAAAATGGAGTCGTCCAAGCAAACTGAGCCTGAAGAAAAGCCCAAGGAAAAAGAACAAGGCGGTAATGCAAGTTTACAGGTCTCAGCAGCTGAAATAGACGCAGAGAAAAAGGATAAAGCTCCTGAATTCCGTGAGGAGCAACCATACATGTCTTTTGATGGTCACCCACTGATTAACATTAAGAGGTGGGAGCCCCATAAGAGTGTAGAGGGCAGTAACTACATATCTTTTGATGGTAGCCCACTAAGAATCACTCCCCCTAAAGCCTCAACAAAGAACGTCCAGACACTTTCTGAGTGGAGTGGCTACATCTCCATTCAGGGCCACATTTTAGCAGATAACATTAAACCAAACATGAATAATGCCCAGTGCAAGGAGGAGACTAGTAGCTACATGTCAATTTATGGGACGCCTCTTTCTAAACAGCTGAGAGCGTCTAAGAAAAACGTACAGTGTATCCAAGAAAATAGCTGCTACATGTCCATTCACGGATATGTGCTGCCCAACAGGAGTACATCTAATCGAGTCAATGATGAGAGTACAAATTATGGCAAGTACTTGTCTGTAGGAGGCACAGAGCTGCCCCACATTAAACGAATCAAGAAGCATTCTGTTCTTAGGCTGCCCAGGTCTGCCAGGTCTGTCAAGATCTCAAAGTCTACCAAACATCTAAGGCTCGTCAAATCAGCCAAATCTTCAAAATCTGCCAAATAATTATTTATTCTTACAGTTTGTTTAGTGAAACAATTAAAATTACTTTTAACATATGATTTTTAGCCTTTTAATAACATACACATTGGGAGCCACAGGAATAAACCTAGGAACTTTATATATAAGTAAACAACCTTGGCTCTCCCTAAGGAAAACCAGTCATCCACTTTTATCCCCTGGTCAAGTCATTTTCTTGGGGAGGCAGCTGACCCTTTCTAATTCCAGACTGTTTTCTTATCTCTGTTGCTGATTCCTATTGTGTCAATTTGGCAACCTAGAGTTTAAAGTAATGTTTGGGTTACTGGTTTATGGTTACTGGTGGTGTATCTTTAAACTGGCCAGAGAAAAATCTCCAAAAAGTTTGCTGCTTGTAAATGACATATCATTCAGTGATTATTCTCATGAGTAAAGTCGGCCTGTTTAGTTCTGTTTAGTTTTTCTTCATTCCAATGATACTTCATATCTAACACAAAGGGTAAATATGACAGCAGTAAAACTGCATTGAGGAATGAGCTTCGTGCTGACAAAAGCAATTGAATTAGAATACCATTTCTGAATTTACGTAGTATTCATAATATGACACAGAATATACAATGACTGTAAAACAATAAAATGTCATCTCAAAATCATTGACAAGACAACCTGCAAGTGATGTGTGTAACTGCACAGACTTCCACTTCAAAAAGTCGTATTTTCTGATAATATAACCCTGAGATTAGATTCTCCAATACTGACAGATTTGGGGGGTGGTCTAATATATATAATTGTGTCCTAATTTGTATCAATAGTCAGGCATTTTGTAAATTAAGTACAAGCTTTTATATAGTCAACATACGTGCTGTGTGTGATGAAGACAGATTGTCCCATGGTTATTTGTGAAGCAGTATTATGACAATAAAGGCTATTCTATTCTAGTCTAGTATTAGGGAAGTGTGACTCTGATGAACTGACTAACTCTCTTCTCCTATCACTGTGTCTTCCTGTTTTCTTCTTCTTCACTACAGTGTGATGTTGTACGGCCGCCAACCAAGTTCCAGGAAGCAGCCACCACAAGGTAAGTACATGGTTTATGACTTGTTCAAGTTCATGTTAATCTTGGCACATGTTTTTACCAAATAATAATTCTTTGAGTTAAATTGGTGTAACACACTACGTCAGTAAAAATGATGTATGTGTAATATATATCATTCTGATTAACCACTGTCTTTATGATTACTCGTGATTACTGTGAAAAAATAAATTTCTGAAAATGACAGAAAACTGCTGTCCTACAACTTGGTGGATTTAAGTAACTACTGTGGATCTTGATGTTGGCTTGTAAAATATCGTTACCGGATCACAGGGGCAGCAGTCTCCATGACCACCACCCAAATCACACTGCACCGTACCAACCCCCCGAACCTTCCTGTGGGTGGTGAGTCCACTGGAAGGTAACATCCACCCTAACCTTGATTCCCTCTTGCCCTGGAGGTGACACCAATGACAGAGACATTGCCTCTGGGCCGAAGCACCACCAAAATATATTCATGCCTCTGGGCCAAAGCGCCACCAAAATGTATTCGTATGTGTTTATTTTATGTTAGATGAGGAGGTAATACTGACTATAGTGAGCATATATCACCCCCCCCCCACCGGTTCACAACTGCCAGGTTTCCATCACAAATGTGGAGCGTGCCACATCCATCCATCTCCCCTGGAGTGTCCGTTTTTACGAGGCCCATTTCTGTCAGTGGGTGTAAACAGGTATTTGATGAATGGATGTCAAGGTGCACTGTTACCTGCAGCCCCCGATCTGAGGCCTCCTGTGTTACAGCTGTGAGCTGCCGCTCTTCAAACTTCTCTGTCCTACTCTGCCAAAAGTCCTCCATTTGGCAAGCACACCTTCATTGTACACCTTCAAAACACACATCCCTGTATTATCTGAGGAGCCTACAGCTGCAGGAGAAATATGAAACACTCCTTTCTGAATAGGTTTACAGCCAGAACTGGACAAGGAATAACACACTTTATGTGTTTTGAGTGTCTTTACCTAGGTGGGCCAATCATCTCAAAATCGCCTTGGAAGCCACTCTGCAGTATAAACCACTGTGTAGACGTGTGTGTACGTGTGTGTGTACTAATGAAAGATTTTTCATTCCTAATGTAGAGAACAACTTTTTTGTAAATACAAAATACTTTTCTGTTTTGTAAATATTGTTTATAAACTGAATGGAATTTAAAAACTCACATGCACCAAGTACCTGTATTACAGTAGAGTCCTGGGCCCATCACAACAGGACAGGGCTCTTGATACGTATTTTAGGTGATTTTCCAACTTGAAAAGAAATAATAAGAGCTCTGTTCAGGGATAGGCGTCATGCACACGTGAAATCCCTAACCACTAAGAAGACTTCAATGTAAATAGGGGAACTGTAACACTTTTTATAAAACTATATTTTGTTAAAAAAAACCCTGCAAAACAGAAGTTCTTGGGAAGCATCAGCATTACTGTCATATGACTTAACCTCTGGTGAATGCTGCTTTTTTTTTTTTTTTTTTTTTTTTTTACCATATTTGCATTTGTCTCTTGATCAGAGGTGATGCGGCTGAGCAAAATCCATTGTTTGTCTCTACTTGTGGTCCTTCAGACAGATGAATGGTCCAAGTGAGTTCCTCACCCTCTAACAATGATGCAGTAATTGGGTCCATGTCCTCCTACAATCCTGAGAAGTACTTAGCAGTAGACGACGAGTGAATGAAGGAACCTGTGATCAGAAGTGCGACAAAGAACACGTCACAGGTGCTACACACAAGTGTTACACCTGTGTGTCTGAATTATCTCTCACATTAAGAGACATTGTACATTCAGATGCTGTTGCCATCATCATCATCTCAGGAATCTGTTTGTGTGATTGCAACATTCTGAGTGAGGAGCAGCTCTGCTGATTAAAAAAGAGCACTTATTCACAGTGAAGCACAAAAAAGGGCCAAGCTTTTTCCTGAATCTACAATTAGGGCCGCTCGCCCACTACAGCGCTCTTCCACGGCGAATAAGGATCTCATTTCAAGATATCATGATTAAGTGCAGGCAGAGGCCTCGATGGCCTCCGAATATTCCCAAGAATTTATTGACCCTGGGAGAAACCTGATTATAATAACGCATTGTTCCATTTGCATATATGCAATTTTCCTCTTTGCTAAACCCTCCTTTTGAGGAAGTTTGCAATTAGTTGCAGCCCTCTTCACTTCAAAGAGTTTGAGGTAAAGCCCAGAGCAATGTCACTGGAGTGCATTGATGAAAGGATAATGCTAGTTTATGACTTCCTGGTCTTCTTTGGGGAGGAGGGGGTTGACATTGTTACACAGTGAGATTATTGAACTAACATGGGTAATGATTTTTTCGATTGTTCTTTGTTTTCTTTTTAAGAACAATTTTGGCCAACCCCGGATTTTATTTACAACCTGTCCGATCATCTGGCTGCCAGTGTTCTCTGCCCGGTCAGACTACTGTTTAGCAATGCTACAGCGCTGCCAGATTTCTGCAATTAACATGGGGAGCATAATGTATAATTATCGCTACAGGAACGTTGAACGTTGAAACGAAAAATGGAATGTTGCCTTCAGCTGAAAAGTGTCTTCGAAGTGATAGAGCTTCAGGGCAGAGATGAGTGTTCTGTTCTGGAATGAAAGCAGTGACTGAGTTCTACCTTCGATATCTTTTCCTCAAATAACATCAATACTCCCATGTTTTTTTTTTTTTTCCTTTTGCTCCCCCTACCTCCTCCTGCCATCAACTCCCATCTGTAGTCAAAGTGAGGTCTGCTGTGAGTTATGTCAGATGGAGCAATTACCAGAGAGGGGGGCCAGGACGATAATGAGTACCAGATGTAGGTTGCTTGCTCTTGTTCTCTTACTTTGACACTTTGTTCTTCTTCATCTTCTCCCTTTATTTTCTTCCTCTTTTATTTGTCACTTTAGTTTGTGTCTTTCTGAGTGTTGTTTATTTCTTCTCCTGCACCTTGTTCACCTTCTGACCATCTCTCAGTCTCTAACACCCACTTTCTCCTCGTCCTCCCTCTGACCACCCACAGCTGTCTGGTACAAGGTGCTGGTGAAACCCTCCTTGGAGCGGAGGTGCACTTGTTCGTTCCCCCCGCTGCTAAATAGAATCCATCAATCATGCAGGTGTCTCTCCAACAAAGTCAGGAGGCCTCGCTAACACTTTGCACATGCAGCCGAAGACCATTTATCAGCAGAAATACAATGTTAACGTAGGACCGCTGCCAGCTTTTACACAACTGCAGTGCACTCTGTTGCTGTTACTCGGCCACAGATGCACTTACAACAAAGTGCATGTTTTAAGTGATTTCGTCCCCCTTCGGTTCTGTTTATTTGCCTGTGTAAGACCAAGAACATAAAAACCACTGAGACGCCTGAGAAGGTGGATCCTTCTGCTTTTCCAAGCAAACCGCAGTGAAGTTTGTTAGGAGTGAAAACAGTCTGACCCAACAGGAAATCATCCCTAAACACAAGGGAGGAATGTTGTTGTCCCGTGTCATCGCAAGTCCATCTAGATCGAATTGTCAAGGAGCTTCTTGAAATGGAAAATGCAAAGAAAAAAAAACTATATCTAAAAAAAAAGACATGATAAGAGTAATCATTGTACTACATAGGAAAAATAGGAAACTTTAAATACAACTGAATTGTCATATTTAAATCTAAGATTGAATTACATTTGTTGAAACAATCAAATTATATGTTTGGTTTAACACCACACTGTAAAATGTTCAAAAGAACAACTTTTATCAAAGCACTGTCCACTTTACAAGGAGGACAGGACGTCTGTCTGCATGACAAAAATGAAGTGGTCATCTCCATAGTTCACCAACCTGTTCTGCTACCACTCAAGCCAAATGGAAGCCCGTCCAAATGATGAGCCGTGCTCTGCCAAAGCAGCTGGAAGAGCTAACAGGAAAAAGAACCCGCCGGTTCCAGCCAAAATTTATAAGCTTTTGGGTAATTTTCCAACTAGAGGCAGGTCGTCCAACAGCATCAAATGTGACATTAACCTTTGTCAATTTAAAAAGGAAAATAAGTACCGTAGGTGGTGGATGGGAAACCTCAACTCCATGGAGCTTTTAGCAAAACAGTGTCCAGCCCCATTTTAAACAAATAGAAACTAAAAAATCCATAGACCGATGATATTGGGTTTTTGACCTGGCCTGCCTGCAGTGCAGCTCTGTCTCCTACAGATAATGTCTGATGCATTGTGAAAAGGAAAAGGCTGTTAAATATGGTGCCACCTTGTGGTCATGGATTAAAAGATGAATAAGGTTTGAAATGACTCATCTCTGTCTCTTTCCACAACATTTGAGTACTCGTGTTGATTATACACAGATGTCAGGACAGAACTACATGAGTTTTACTGTTAACAGAACATCCACTGTTATCACACAGTCCATTAAAATGTGCTTCAGCTGTCAATCACTAATTAGAGCAAACACCTTTACAAGAGACAACCCAACGGCTCTTCATCTGACAGACAAATCAATTAATAATCTGCAGACATCACTTGAAGTGCCAGCGTCATTGTGGAAAAAGATAGAATTTTCTAATGCAACTTTAATATGCACATGAGAGACGACTTTTAAATTTTCATCACACGGTCTTTTTGAATTGCACAGATGAAACAGCATAGTATTTTCCCCCCTCCCTGACTTGGACCACATCCTTGATGCCCCAGATACTCATGCCTCCCACTGTGGAGTCACGAGCAGGCTACTTAAAAATAAAAATATATTTATATACCATCCATGTGGAGTCTGCTGATTTGTTTAACCTGATTTAGGGTAAGACGACAAATGGCGTAAATCAAAAATAAGGGATCAGGACCCGAGGCCATGTCATGCTTAATGCCCAATGAAAGAATACTGTCACTTGTTCTCATTGGGTGTAATGTGGGTATTTTGATTGATTCAATAAAAATAACTTCTGGGAAACCAAAAAAATGGACTTGTGGCGTGTCTTTGGAGTTAATGGTGTTAGGTCCAAAACAAGTTAAATCAGAAACGTGTTGATGCGGCGACCCGATTCTGCGTGACGGTTTTCCACGAAAACAAACAGCCAGTGTTATGTGTTTTCCTACTGCAGTTGAACATCTCACTGTACTCATGTGTACTTCATATAACAATGTCTGCAGTATGGATGTTTGTATTCCATATTCCTTCTTTAATTTTAACCTCATTTTCTATTGATATATTCTCTTTTGTAACAACAGAAAGATTTGTTTCCTTTCCCCTTCAATTAACTCTCTACTCTGCTCTCTACACAACCATTTCGTAGACAATCTGCCACTAAGGCAATAAAATCTGATGATGATTATCGGCCCACAACTTACGAAAACAGAGGCAAGTACAAACGTATGAGAGGCAAGGGTACAGTACCAGAGCTCCGCCCCTTCATGGTGCTGTATGCCTAGTTTTCTGCAGCACACACACATCAACAAAAATACTTTCATCAATTACAACAAACACCTCTGTGGTCCCAGGTTAAACCCAGCTCTGCATCACCACCTCCAATCTTTGCTGCTTATATTTGCTTGCAAATATAAGTCTATATATAGTTAATACATAAGGACTGTGTCCATCCTGCTGTTTGATATATGGGGCATCCACCAATTTTATCTGTATAAATCTTTGCACTTGGAAGCTGTACAGACAAATCAACTGCAGAGCTGTGTGCATTTCAACTAATTCCCTGTGTCTAATAGAAAGAGGAAGGAGGCAAGGTAAAGACTTCATTTCCTAACAGGAATAATTAAAGCGTGGCCAGGGGCTACCACCATTAGCAGGAACAAGAACAATGTGGTTTTTGTTTATCTTGTGCTAATTGTTACGAGCAGATTACAAATATTTTGACTTCGGGAGCACAAGTAAGGAGTGACCTGAATTTGAAATGATTGCTCAAAGAAAAAACACAAAGAACTTTAGATCATCACATCTGAAAAGCACAAGGAATGTTTGTCATTTTGTCGAAGCTGCTTCAAAAGGAGATGAGCCGCGACCCGTTATTTCACCTGGGAGCTGGGTCATTTTATTGTTGGGTTCAATTACATAAAGCTTGCAAAGATCCACAGACAACAAAAAAGTCAATGAGTTGATGAGTGGTGGCCTTGAAAACACGCACAAATCTTTACAAAACAGGTGCTTGATATTTTTGATGCCATGATCAATTTGAGTTCAAGGCAACCCCATGTGAGGAAGTGACCCTCAGTTTGAAAAACACTGTCGTAATTTCTTGTACTTGTTTACAAGGATGCTCTTTTTTTTTTTGACCAATTTTGACCAAAAAAGTTTCCCTCCGATTTATATCCTGTAACTGCATTTGAAGGGGCAAAATCTTGTCCCTCTTCAACCTCGACCGAATATATGTATATATATAAACAAAAACTGGCATGCTACATGGAACACAACAGGTCAGTAATGACTATGGTCGTGCACAGAGGAGTTGGGGGTGGGTGGTTAGTTCTAAGAAGCCTTGACAGTTGATTGGAACATTGCTCAGAGTGCAGTGCTCATCCAGTCGACTATCATCTGCATGTACCTAGAGGTTAGCGATCGACTGCTAAACGTGAAATTAAGTGTGAGTTATATTTCCGCATGGCAAACAAAAAAACAAGTGATAAAAATACCTTCAGACCTTTAGCTCGGTTCGCTGTACTCTTCCCGTACTTTCCAGCTGTTGTGTTTCTCTACACTGAGGTTGTTATCTCCTGGCCTTGACACGATGATCTATGTGCATGTTAAAGGCACATATTATTACCGCAGAAGCGGCGTTCAGTCAGAGGACACAGTAATGGGCTCAGACACTTGTCAGGTCGCCTTTTGTTCACATAGAGGAGTGTTTTTGCCAAATGACCCACTGTTTTTTAACACGGCGGATCACGTTCACACTTGGGCCTTCTAAACGGGCTGGAGCTGATACAGTCTGAAGTAGTCAAACAGTCACGCTGACAGTCGAGAAAGGAGTCACATCATGACAGCGCGTCAAAAAAAGGTGCGACGGAGCCAGGTAGACATGACACCTCTCTCCCCGAGGTGCCAGTTTTGACAGAGCTGCCACCGGTGAGAGTAAAAGGTCAACACCTCTGGAACACACTTGTCAAATTACAGAGTTTGCACTAGTTTACTGGTAACAGTCAGTCATTACTGTCAGCATTCGCTAACACAGTGAGAGAAACACAACAGTTAAGGAGCAGTCCAGGTCAGGCTAACATCCTCAGGGAGGTGTGTGTGTGTGTGCCTTTCACACATTTTATATGTTTCATTATGAAATCGAACTAAAAAAAGGGGGATTTCATCCTAGAAGATATTAGTCATCCTCTAATCTGTTTGTTATGTACCCAAACGTGTGTGTTCATTTTCATCTGTATGCCTTCTTCCTGCTCACACAAGTGTGTTGTCACAGCTCAGTTGACTCTATTTTCCATATTTTTATAAATAGCCAGGAGAGAAGTATTAATTATCCTTGTACAATTTAATGCACCGAGTGCTTTAACCTTTCAGGTTTCAGTTAAACACCGACATAACAAGGCATATCCGTAGCAGCAAACGTGATTTATGACAGGAATACTTAATTCTTATTTTTTAAATAGGTTGGACTGCAATCTGCATATATTTAAAAGACCCTGGAAACACATTCTCCACCCCGCCCCCCTCACCCCTACCGTCTCTTGTCTCCGGGCCTTGTTTAATATTCAGGGATGATTTTTTTTTTTTTTTTTGTCCACATACATTTTGGTCTGTGTCACCTTAGATTAAATTATTACCGTTTTGCAGCCTTTGCCATGCAGGCTCGGGGCCCTTATTTACTGGAATCAATGAAACCGTAATGAAAATCCATTTTTCATAGTATCAGCTCCCGCTGTCTTTTATTTAGTTAGCTGTGTCTAAGCAAGCAATTCATTTTGTGTAAATGCCACCCTGAGAAAAAGGCATTAGTGCAGAAAGGGTTAAATCCCCTGCATAGCCCCCGTCCTAAAATGAAGACGCACCGCTCAGGACGGGAACTGTGAGACAACATGAACAGAAGGTCCTGGGGAAATATTTTCCTTCTTTAAAGAATTGAACTGTGGTAGGAGTGACGATTGTAAAAGGTTTAATCTTCACACATGACACTCAGTGTCAGGGAGACTCACCGACTCAGATGATACCAGACAACAGGTCGGGAAAACTGGTGTTTACAAACTATACATGTGGGTAAAAATGAAGTTATGTGCACTGATTTATAAAATTACAATAAATGAAGTTTGAAGTGTGAGTTACAGTGTGTTGATCTGACTGTTAATAAAAAGAGTGTTGGGGTAAGGCAGGGAGCGGGGGTGGGAGGGGGTGAGGAAGGAGGCACCGTTCACCTTCTGGGTCAAAGCACATTACGCCGATGTAAAACGACACACTCCCAATCTTGCATATTGAAATATCTTCATCACGGGAGCGGCAGAGTGTCAGCTTTGGATGCTGTACATATTCAAATAGGTTTGTTTATTGACTTTGCTTAGGGTCATGTGTGTGTCGCCGCGGTAATGAAACAAACAACCAAACGAGAGTTAAGGACAAGGACGAGTGACTCAGTGGGATTGTACACTTCTAAAAAAAAAAAAAAAACACACAAATAAAAGGTTAAAACCCAAATGTTGTAAGGTTTTTATTTTAAAAAACAAATTGCATGTTTTTACTGACGACGCCCCGTGTTTCTTTGTACCACAGTGTCAGCCAATACATCTAAATCCCGTGTTAATACTTTTTATTACTTGTAAAGGATATTAAATAGTTTTACAAGCCTCTTTGCTCTTTGTACGTACACAAAAGATTGCAAAAGGCCCCACAGTGTCAGACGTGGCGGCACCGTGGGTTCAAACACACTTCCCTGGTCTCGTCTGAGACGACTTCATAAGCAAACGAGCGCATGTAAGCCAAGGTGAAAGGAGGGGAGACCCCGCCCTTTCTGTCGGGCGATGAAATAAAATTTAATAACTGAATAAAAATGTAAATAAAGATTTGCTGGAAATGAGTTGTCCATGAAATAATTCTCTTCTCCCCCTGCCCTTCTTCAGCTAATACCGTGATGTGGTGGAGGTGGTGGGGGTTATATTAAGCCCGCCCTGATGTGGTGTGTGACCTTTTGAAAGGCGCTCGGCGAGGGTTGATTAAAGACGTATTAAATTTGTTTAAATAAACCTCCTTGTAATGGCACATCATTTGTAAGAAGCTATTAGGGAAACGCCAGGGAAAAAATTGCAACGCCATTATTTGCATGAAAATGTGCCCCGACCGCT